TGGATTGGGTTTCAACTTTTCAAAATGGACCAAACCTTTTGCTTCTTTTTGTTTTTAGATAATGTATTTTATGTCAACAAAAAATTGTTTGTTTCAAATTAGCTTTAAATTCGAGATAAAAAAGAAGTGGATTACATACATAATACATAATTAGTATGAAAATTGAGGTTATCATTTTGTTGCACAGTTGAATTAAGGTGGAAAAAGAACAGTTGAGAACTCTATTAAAAAAATAAAAGGAATTCAAAGAGGCCATGAGGAGTAAAATATATACCTTATGCAGAAACCTAAAATGAGTAAAAACAAACACAAAAATGGTAATATAAGCAATCAAATAAAAAGGGTTTAAAGAAAAATTGAACCTTTTGAGTTTTCGAAATTAAACCCACCATACACCCTCTTTTGTTCGTCTTCTTGATGTCATCAATGTACAACAATGTCAATACTATTTTGATAACATGATATTGTGTAACTTCGAAATTGATTAATTTTATGAACGGAAGAAAGCACTAACAAAATACAGAGAAGAATAAGAAGTCAGATGGGTTTCGTGTTTATAGTTGGCTTAGTGACTGATTATGTCTCATCTAGTCTGTAATTAGAATTAGATTGACCACAAAAATGACCTCGTGTGAGGGGCATGTTGGTGGTGTAGAATGATATCGTTCTCGTTGATTTGGTAAACGAATGCAATAGCCTACGTATAGAAGATACATAAGGCCACTTGGGCCTAAAGCCTATAGATATACAAATATATGAGGTTATACAACATGTTTTATCGGGAGGATAATTTCGAACATTCGAACTGGTCTTAAAATTCAGAAAAAGCTTAGATAAAAGCCTTTTGGTGAAAATATCGGCGTACTGGGCGGAGGATGGAATGTGAAACACGCGAACTAACCCGCGAGCAACCATATCACGCACAAAGTGAATGTCAATCTCGATGCGTTTAGTACATTGATTTTGAACTGTGTTTAAGGACATGTAGATTGAGATGATGTTGTCATAGTAGATGAAGGTAGCTTTTTTGCGGAGGACACTGCAACTCTCGAATAAGATTGTGAACCCAACATGTTTCGGCTATAGTGTTGGCCACCTAAGATATTTCGCATCTGCACTAGATTGAGAGATGACACCTTGACATTTCAAAGACCATGAAATAAGGTTATCTCCGATAAATACTCAATAGCCCGAGGTAGAGCAACGAGAGACCGGACACCCACTCCAAACTGCATCAGAATACGCGACCAAATTAGAAAAAGGAGATACGTAAAGTTGAAGGCCATGATCAAGCATCCCTTTAACATAGCGAAGAATACGCTTACGAGCATGAAGATGAGGCTCCCATAGATCATGCATGTAGAGAAAGATATGGTGTACCGAAAATGCAATTTTTGGACGAGTGAATGTGAGATATTGAAGGGCTCCAGCAAGGCTGCGATACAAGGAGGGGTCTAAAAAATGGTGGGGGGGGGGGGGGCATTGGCATTTAACTTATGATTCGTCTTGGCTGGAGTGCGGGCTAGGTTACACTGGAGCATGTGAGCTCACTCTAGAATCTCTGAAGCGTATTTCTTTTGACTTTTGAGGGAGAAATAAACATGTGGAGAACGAGTGGCCGATATACCCAGAAAGTAGTTAAGAGCTCCTAGGTCGGTTATGGAGAACTCTCGACTAAGTTAGGAGATAATCCGGTATAAGAAAGTTGTGGAGGAGGCTATGAGAACAATATCATCAACATATAAAAGTAGATATGCAGTATTTGAGCCATAATGATAGGTGAACAGTGAGGAGTCTGTCAGGCTGTGCTAAAAACCCATGTGAAGAGCATGGTGAGCAAATCCCTGATACCAGGCCTTAGGAGTCTGTTTGAGACCATAAAGAGATCTCTGTATATGAAAAACATAATTTGGATGTTGGGGGTCTCGAAAACCTGGTGGTTGATGCATATAAACTGTCTCTTGTAGGTGACCATGAAGAAATGCATTCTTCACGTTAAGTTGGTGAATGGGCCAGTGGCGTGATACTGCTAGGCTCATAACAATATGAATAGTAGCCGATTTAATGACCGGATTGAAGGTCTCATCACAGTCAATGTCAGGCTATTAACTGCGACCATTAACACTAAACGAGCTTTATAGCGCGAGAGAGATCTGTTTGCATTAAACTTCTGCTTAAATAACCACATAGATCAGACCACGTTGGCTCCAGGAGGACACAACACTAAGACCCATGTGCTATTTGAAATAAGTGCATTATATTCTTCATGCATGGCTTTTTGCCAATTTGGATCTTGCAAAGCCGGTAAGTGTGACCTCGGTACAGATGAGATAAAGGAGGAATGAAGGTTAAGACATTGGGTAGGTTTGAAAATTCCGCTTTTAGAACGAGTATTCATGTAATGAGTGGTAGGAGGGAGAGGAGTGGGAATTGAATCTTCCATTGGTAAATTATGGTTGGTTTGAGAATGAGTTAGGTCTGTATTATAAGGAGTGGGTGGGATATATGATAGATGAAGAATTTGACGAGATATAGGCGAGACTTCCATGCCAGAGAGAAAATCATAGGATGGAGGTTCGGTAGGGGTAACTGAACCGTAAGAGAAGATAGTCTTGTTAAAAGCGACACGACGAGAGATTATGATATTTTGAATGGAAAGGTCGTAACAACGAAACCCACAGTGATATGTGGAATATCCCAAAAAAATGCATGGGGTCACAGGGCTGAAGTTTATTGCTAGTATGGATTCGTGGAAAACATGTGCATCCAAAAACACGGAGATGGTCATATGTAGGATGATAATGAAATAGACGATAGTGAGGGGTGTCATTGGCTATGGGCAAAGACAAAATGATATTAAAGAAGTAAGTAGTCATGTGAAGAGCCTCTGCCCAAAAAGTAGCTGGGAGGTGAGAGTAGAGGAGGAGAGTACACATCATATTATTGACAATACGGGTCATGCGTTCATATTTCCCGTTTTGTTGGGAGATATAGGGGCAAGAAAATCAGAATGTAATGCCATGAGAAGCGAAATGATCATGAAATAATTGATTATTACATTCACGGTCGTTGCCACATTGGAAATGTTTAATTCTAGCCCCAAATTTATTTTTCACGGTATGGGAGAAATGTATAAATTTTTGAAAAGCTTCGGATTTGTTTTTAAGTGGATACACTCAAAGACAGTGTGTGTAATGATCGAGAAATAAAATATAATATTGCAATATGGCCACCAACGCTAGTAATAGAAGAAGTCCACAAGTTTGAATGAATAGTATCAAAACATGACTTGTGGAAGTTGTCATCGGGTAAAAAGGTCCAGAGCTATCACAACGGATGAGAGGTCTTCGTGTCTGATAATCAAGAAGAATAAAACCAAAAGGATCAAAATCAATAGAGCAAGTATTTTAAGTGGTAAATTGTCGGACATATATTAGACTTTTAATAATGATATGGAAAACATAAGTCCATACATATACATGTAAGATGGTTGACCAACATTATCATTAAGTTGTCATTCTCTTAAAACCGCAAGAACTAATTGTTAGATTCTGTCAAATTAAAACGACATTGTATCATTCATTTTTAATTCACAAAGGCATTATTATACTTGAGAATTCCTTGCATGTCATTAAAATTAATACTCAAGCTTTATGTATGTGTAATCTATTGTATGATGCTCATATCTTATACATTTATATGTATGTGTGACATTGTATTCCACTTTAAACTTTATGTACATTTCAATCCAATGTGGTTTACACCATTAATCAAAGCCTTAGTAACATCAACAAATCAACTTAGCTATTACATGGATCTTCATTAGTTTTATTTCAAGAGTAGAATCCTTTTAAACATATGCACATATTTAAGAGTAAATTACTAAAATTGTCCCTGCGGTTTGGTCAAAGTTGCACGTTTGATCCTTAACTTTTTTTACAATCGGATCGTCCCCGTGGTTTGATTTTGTTGCGTTTTTCGTCCCTATGGTTTGGTAAAAATTGCATGTTTGGTCCTTAACTTTATGTATGTAAGAGACGAAAAATGCAACAAAATCAAACCACAGAGATGAAAAACGCAACAAAATCAAATGACAGGAACGATCCGAGTGCAAAAAAAAGTTAGGGATCAAACGTGCAATTTTGATCAAACCACAAGAACGATTTTAGTAATTTACTTCCATATTTAAAGCACTTGCATTAGTTGTATTTAATCCTTTATTTTCGGTGTAAATAATATATTTCGGATCGAGTCCGTATCTCGTATGCGTTATTATGGGTCGAGAACCAAACTCAAAATTTGGCCCAGTTGGTCCGCTTAAATGGGGGATAAACATACACCATGGCCGATTGGTCCGGTTACGATCTCACCTCTCTTCGATTTTCTCTTCATTAGCCTCGGCCTCTCGCTGCTCTTCGATCTTCTCCTCGTCGATCCCTGTGACTCTATCTGTATCGGCCTCTTGCTATTGTCCTCTTCGATCATTCTGCACTCATTGGCTCACGCTCGCCTCTTAAGTAGGTATAACCTAATTTTGTTCATCTTTATTAATAGACCCTAATTTAATTGTTAATTGTTTGTTGTTATTGGCTACTTGGCTTAAAGCTGCTTATAATATGAGAAAATGACTTGCGTTGATCAGATAATCATCTAATATTACCAATTTTATTTTTCGACTCTTATGTAAAGCTCTGCGACTGCAGGGATTTCAACTTGACAGTGTTATAACATGCGAATACATAGGCCAAAGTTATAGTGTATACTAATTCCTATTATTTGAGTTGCTTATAGGCACACTATGTTAATTACTGTTTATTCTAATTGAATTTTAAATTTATGTTGCTTGAAGTGATCAGGTTTATGAATCATCCAATCGTTCAAGCAGGATCACCGAGTCATCAGATTTCTGCTGAATTCCTCTACTAAGTTCAGTGATTACCTGATTCAAGTCCATAGCTAAAGCGTAAACTCTAGGTGTTTTGTATTCGGATAATCAAAACATGAGCATAGAGCCATTTAACAAGTAAATATCTTATTTATTCATATAAAGCGATCTTTTTAGTTTTTGTTCTGTAAATTCTTTAAATTTTCATCAATTTGGGTTTGATTAGTTTATAATTATGATGGATTTAGATTGGTGAAGTTGGCTGCGAGGGCATTTTATGATGATATTACTGCAAAAGGAGATAATCAACCAAAATCAGGGAGGAGTGATAATAGGGGAATTGCTGTTGTAGTTCTTGATGCTCTCACGAGGTAATTTGGTTTTCAGTTCATAGCAATTACATACAAATGATAATTAAGCAGTGAATTATTGCATGTGGGTGTGAAAAGTAGATGGTTGTGGTATCTTCCAACATTTTGCTTTGGCTCAATTGTAAACGATGAATTTGCTCAACTCTCCATATGTATATCCATCCAGTTCTTTTAAACTGGATCCATGATCACATATTGTGTATCCTCACACAGTCTTGAAACACTAAATGATATAAACCAATAGCAGCATCCTAACTTTTCTGAATCCTTAATATGTTTAATTATTCAATCAGGGTTAGCAGTTATGCAAATAGGTTCAGCAGTGGCAATTAGGGAAGTGGTGAAAAATTTATATGGGAATTCTTTACCCATATTTTGATTTGAAAATCGTTTTCCTTTAAAACACAATTTTGGATGATGCATCTAAGAGAAAAGTACACTTACAAATGGCAATCAATAACATTTTGTGTAGTTTCTTGTCTGCATATGAATAGAAGTGTAGGGATTTCAAACAATTTTTAGTTTAAGGTTAGAAATATGAAATACATCATCTTTTATAATCTAAACATGCTGGGAAGAAATACCACCAATCAAAGAGTACGCTTTTCTATTCGTGAAATAACTTCTGCATTTCGGGTTTTAGTTTTGATAATGGTTGATTCATTGACTAGATATGCCCAACTCTGACTATTTAATAGGATGGAGGGTACATTAGGTGCTGCTTAATTTTATTATATCTCTCAAGACGAATTAGGTAGTTATCTCATTGGACAAACAGGGTGTAACTGGTTCCTGACCTGTCTGAATATAGAACCTATACTTTCCTTTACGAATTAGTCCTGTGAATCTTCTAGAATCTAGATTTTGCAAACAGGATTGCAGGACTTTCTCATCCCACAACAGCATACTGAAAACAACAAGAAAATCTGGTAAGTAAAATGAGATCAAATCCTGTATAGACTTTTAAAGATGTTTTTTTTTTTTTTTTTTTTTTTTTTTATAATTCTAGCCTATATTAGATAACCATTCCACCTTCAGTACTGAATGAATAATTTTTTGTCAAATCAACTTGACTTCTTGAAGCCAAAAGACTATTATACCGCTGCCACAAAAAGTCATAAATTTGGTATAAGATTCATCAAGATAGAGGGCAGCAGTGGAAAAGCATGCCTCTTCTGAGAGAACATAACCAGCTGCTGCCCAAAGGGTGACAGAAATCCACCATTTCGGTCTTTACATATTTTAGATCCATTTGCTAGGAATTGAGTTAACCAATCTCATGATGTCTCATCATTCCACCTTTCTGTGATTGGAAAAAGTTATCTAACCAAGGGACATGTCTTGGTTCAAAATTTGAGTCAAAGATGAAAATATGGTCAATGCTTATATGGACAAAATATTTGTCCGTTGGGATTGCTTTAGTGTTTTGGACAACTTAATAGTAACATAGTTAATATTCAAGATTCCCAATATGCAAAAACGCAACCAAAATAGCTAGATTCGAGTATATGGCAAAAATGATCCCTATTTGTATATATATTTTTTTGGTTTGGGTCCAAAAAATATTCTTTTCTATTGTTGCTCTTTAGGGCATCCACAATTCATTGTAACTCCGCAAAGTTTAATGGATTGCCATATCAACGTTTCACTTTCCATACAACTTTGTCATTTAATTCATACAGAGTTTAATGGAATTTATTTATGTAAAATAATTAAGAAACTGGGCCCCTTTTTTCCATTCAACTACAAATCCGTTATATACCAACTTGGCATCCCACTATGGTTGGGTTTACTTCATTATATGCCAACTTGGCATTTCACATCATTCAACCCATCCATTGAACCATGCATTGTAAATGCTCTTATGTCAAGGTTTGGTAATTTTTTTTGAATCGAATATAAGGAAGGCCAAAAATAATGTGTTCGACTTGGCCAATACAAAAGAAGCAAACAGCTTAATCATACTATATAACCTTATACAATCCCTTCTTGTAAATATAATCAACCCTTTATTACAACATTTATTTTGATAATACATTGTCTAGCAATCCCCTCTCCCTTCTTTATGGGAAATATAATTAACATATGGTTTTATAAATTTTGTCTAATAGTTTTGCATTAATCTTTTGTTACTTAGACGCCAATGGGTCCGCGAAGAAGATTTAGCAAAAGATTTGAAATTGCATTTAAAACAACTTCGGAGGACTTTGCGGTTTTTTGAAGAAGAAAAACTGGTAACCAGGGATCACAGAAAAGAGGTTAGTTTCATATTTTTTTAATATGTTTAAAACATTATATTATATATAAGTGTAGTTGGATATTGATGAATAGCTTTTATATTATAAAATATTACAGACTGCCAAGGGTGCAAAAGCCTATAGTGCTGCAGTTGCTGCTACTGCTGATAGTCTTACTGGAAGAGAAGGAGAAGAGAAAATTAAACTTCACACTCACTCTTATTGCTGTCTTGACTATGCGCAGGTTTTTCTTCTACTACCAAACTTTGTTTCTCCTTTTACTAGAATTTGTGTTTATTTTGTATGATGGAATGAAATTTCAGAGGATAGGAATGAACAAGGTAATGGAATAGGTTATAACATTCTGTTATCATGTTTGGTTGGGTTGAAGGAATATAATTAAATCATCAAAAATGTTGTTTGTTATGTACAATTAGAAGTTTGAGAAGAAAATTTATTATTCGAGTAAATGACACGAATGGTCCCTATGATTTGGGATAATTTGCGCGCTTGGTCCCTAACTTATTTTTTTAACTCGGAAGGTCCCTACTGTTTGTTTTTGTTATGCGCGGTCTCTATTGTTTGTTTTTGTTAAGCACTTGGTCCATGTCTTACCTAAAAAGACTATTATTTAAATAGAGAAAAATGGTGGGGTAGGTAAGGTAAGGTGAGTGGGGTGGGATTAGGGGTGTGTTTATTTAAATAAATTAAAAAATCAAGGGAAAAATAGTCTTTTTAGGTAAGACAGACCGAGCGCGTAACAAAAACAAACAGTAGGGACCTTCCGAGTTAAAAAAATAAGTTAGGGACCAAATGCGCAAATTACCCTAAACCATAGGGACCATTCGTGTAATTTACTCTTATTATTTTATGAAAATAGTTTTAATCAAATAAAGATGGTGTTACATAAATTTCGTATAAAAGTAGTTTATTTTATCTGAAGCATATGGTATCTGTATTTGAAATAGTCAAAAAGAAGTTTTTTTTTGAGAGGCTTATTATTTATCACTCTAAATGGTTGCTTACAAAAAAAAAGTTAAATGTAATGTGGTATCATGAAATCTTATGATAAAGTTATAATCATAATATACTTTTAGTTGTTTTTAAAAATTAGCCAAATGAATTCTAAATGAAGCTTTGTTTTAAAACATATTATTTTTATTATAGATTGTATAAGTAAAATTAATTTGTAATTGTAATATATCATTCCATTCCTATGTGGCAAAAAATAAACAAGAGTTTTTTCTCTGATTCCATTCTGTTTTGTTGTTGCAATGCAGATACATGATGTGGTGAGGTATAGATTGCACCGGATGAAGAAAAAGTTAAAAGATGAATTAGACAACAAGAACACAGTCCAAGAATACGTATGCCCAAAATGTGGAAAAAGGTTTGATAATATTTTTTATCGAAAGATGTGTAAAAAATAAGAGTCAAAAATATTCATTCTTAACCTACCCTTTTTTTCAGATACAATGCTCTGGATGCTATTCGGTTAATCTCATTTGAAGATGACTCTTTTCATTGTGAAAGTTGTGATACCGAATTAGTAGCAGAAAGTGACAAATTAGCTTCCCAACAAGATATTGGAGATGGTGATGATAATGCAAGAAGACGACGTCGTGAGAAATTAAGGGATTTGCTTCAAAAATTGGAGGTAAATAAATTACTTTTATTTATATACCTTTAATAGCACTAAACGTTTTTAAAAGAATATAGAATTTCAATTTAGTTATATATCTGTATTCCATGTATACTAATTCTATTTCAAGATTTCATGGTATTTAAATTTTTATTTTTGGTACCAAATGATAAATCAGTTTTTTCCTTACTATTTGAAAAGCATGTTGTTTAATGTTTAATGATATGAATTATATTTATGTGCAATCTATTCAACGATAATAGACTTTTCTCTAATTATACATAATAAGAAATAATATGCTTCCATTCCTTGGAGCCAAGAAAGCATGAGAATGTGAGTTGTTTGTAATGATCCATTACTTTACACTTATTAGTCATTACATCTGTGTGTGGTTACATTATTACAGGTGGAATTGAAGCCGTTAACAGATCAGCTTGGAAGAGTAAAAGACCTTGAAGCCCCTGATTATGGAACTCTTCAAGCATGGGAAGTACGTGCAAGTGCTGTTGCACGTGCATCTAATAATGATCCTGGTGGCAACGATGCTTCTAGATCTGGACAGGGAGGGACACCTATGCCCTTTCTTGGAGAGACAAAGGTAGCTTTTTTTTTTTATCACCATTTTGCCCTTGCCTTGATTAGTAATTAATTAATTGAAATCATATCATGCTATGTTTATGTTAATACATACACGTACATACAGGTTGAGGTGGCCTTTTCTGGTGTTGAAGAAAAGGGGGATATAAAACCTGAGAATGCGCCTATGAAAGTGTTGCCACCATGGATGATTAAAGAAGGGATGAATCTTACAAATGAACAGCGTGGAGGTGTAAAGCAGGAAGAATCAAAAATGGAAGGAGGAACTTCTTCTGGAGCTGCTGCTATGGATTTCAAAGATGACAAGAAGTTGACTAATCAAGAGGATGATGTCAAGAATCTTCAGGTTGGTTTCGTTTCGTTTGGTTTGGTTTAACAGTATGTATATAAATAAATAATAGAATGGTGTTTTTTGTAATAAAAGCTGATGATATGATACTTTTGTATTGTAGGATGAATATTTCAAAGCGTATTATGCTGCTTTACTTCAGAGGCAAAAAGAACAAGAAGAAGGCACCAAAAAGGAACAAGATTTGCCTGCTGCTGATGTGGAGGCCTCAAATTCAAGAAAACGCCAACGTGATGACGATGATGATGTGGAATGGGAAGAGACTCCAACTGCAGCAGGTAAATTAATAATAACATTTGGATATATTTATTTCTTATCTTGTTCAAAATTCAAATAATTAAGTAAGTATATTTTTAAAAAGATGAGCATGAGGGTGTAAGTAAAATCAATTAATGCATGATGCTTTATGAAGTCTGAACTCTTGTTTTATAAACAACATTAGATCAACTCTCACAACTACATATCAGTCAAAAATAGCAGCAACATACTTTTCAAAATTCAATTTCCCAAATTAAGTAAACAAAACAAGTCATTGCCATTGTTGTTGGAGGTTTTGCAGGTGAGACTTTCAAGGTTGACTTGAATGTGGAAGCAGCGGAGCCTTCAGGTGATGATGAAGATGATGATGATGATGGAATTGATTGGGAAGAGGGTTAACTACTTACTAGAAGAAGAAAGCTTCTTCCTAGAGGTCTATTTTCTCACTTTAATTTGTAGTCATCATCTAGTGGTGGTTAACAGGAGAAAAAGACTTCCTGTTGTACATCTTATGAATGTGAAATGCGTAGTAAATTGGATTTATATAAATGAAGTTTGTTTTGGGAATTTCTTAATCAACTAACTAGTATCATTTGCTGCTGCTTTGTAATTGGGTTTTAATCAACGATGTGAATGAGAGGTTTAGATCCTAAATTAACTCCATGGAAGATTGGAGATGAAAACTGTATAGTGTAGGGTTGTAATGTGATGGGAATGCAAGAGTCATGTCTAGATATAAAAAGTTTTATTCATCAAAAATCATAACTGGACAAGTTTTTGTGTTACAAATGGGGAACTCCTTCCTAAAAGCAACAAATGTTCCTCTGGTTTTTAACTCATATTTCTTGTTGCATCATATAATTTGATTAATATTTTATAGATATAATACAGTTGATATAATTTAATATTTCATGAATGGTCCTTTCGGTTTAAAAAGTTTCTTTCAAAAAGTCCTTATGATATTTTTTCTTTCCATCATTGGCCTCTTTCAACAAAAATTCCCATTCCCATGTCAGTGGTCCTTATATATAATGTCCGGTAGAAAGGGATGTTAATTATAAGACCATACGGTATACTCTTAACAAGAGCATCCGTGGTCCATGTGGCCACGAGGAAAAATCGTGCACACCACCCCGACAAATCCTGGTCGGGCATGGTCGTTATCGTTTGTGTTCCCGACGACGAAATCAAACGGAGAAGATGATTGGTGCTTGTTTCTTCGACCGTGGAATTCTTAAAAACTTTTGACTCGGATGACGGCGTAGAATTCGTTGAGACATTCTTCAACGTTGCGTAACACATTCATGACGAAGAAAGTTCGAATTAGTACAAGGGCGGTCATTAATCGTGATCGCCAAGCTGCACATGACTTATTGGTATGTGATTACTTTGCCGATGATTGTCTTTATAACGATGATTCGTTCGAACGTCGTTTCCCTCTGAATAAATGCTATATTTTTACGTATTAGTAATGCTTTAGAATTTCGTTATGATTTTTTCAAACAAAAATCCGAATTTAGAGGAAGAATGAGTTTTTTAGGATACAAAAAATGTGCGGCTGCTCTTTGGTAAGGCATAACATTTGATACGGTATATACGGTATAACATTTGATGCATCTGACGAACACTTGAAAGTATCCGAAAGGACCGCAGTTGAACCACTTGGGTTGTGGTGACTTGGTAAGGCATGTGGAAGATATGGTGGATAACCTATTGACCCATGTTCAAATCCTGACACCACTCAGCCCTTGTGGCCATGGAGGTTCGCCTGCAGTGACTCTAGGACATGAAGCAAAACTTTATGTTTGCAGCGGGGGATTAGTCGGTGCGCGAAAGCTGGCCCGGAAACCCTCGTTAGGGAAGATCCCTTTCAAAAAAAAAAAAAAAAAAGGACCGCAGTTGAATGTGTAGATTGGTTTTTTGCATGTGTGTACGAGGGTTTTCACGAAAAATATTTGCGCAAACCTATTCAACGTGATATTGAGAGATTATATTCGGCTCATGAAGAGAGACATAGATTTCCGGGTATGCTTGGCAGTCTAGATTGTACGCATGTGGCTTGGGAAAAATATCCAAATGCATGGCGCATTGGCGTGGTCAGTTCACTCGAGGTGATATAGGTGAACCAACTATCATCCTAAAAGCTATTGTATCTCAAGATTTGTGGATATGTCATGCCTTTTTTGGAGTAGTGGGGTCTAACAACGACATTAATGTTCTTGGCCAATCTCCACTTTTCAACGATATTTAGACCGACAAAGCACCTGATATGATGTTCACGGTGAACGGGCATGCGTACAAATACGGATACTACCTTGGTGATGGGATATACTCGGATTATTCTACATTGATGAAGGCATACTCGGTTCCTCGAAGCGAAAAGACAAAGTTGTTTACAAAAAAACAGGAGTCGGTGAGAAAGGATATCGAGATGGCATTTGGAGTCCTTAAGCAAACATGATATGTAGTGAAATATGCTACACAACTTTGGGATAAAGAAAGAATTAAACGAATGGTCCTAGCATGTATTATAATGCATAATATGATTATTAAAGATGAAGGTCGAACGATTTGCACGTATGATCCGAACAAAGTTGTCATTCCAATTGAGGAGTTCGTACCCGGAACAAATGAGTTTTTAGAGCGAGTTGTTGAAATTCATAACAGTGAAACGTGTTTCAATCTTCGAAAACATGTCGCGGAACATTTGTACCAACGTAACATGAACGAATATTAGCTTTTTTATACGTATGTTTGTTTGTTTTTTTAATTAATGTAATGTTTTTTTCTAGATTAATTAAGTAATCTAGTTTGAAGTTGTAATTTTATTTTTATAATTAATGTAAAACTAGTCTAAAAAAATGAATGTTTTTTAATTATACAAAATGTAATTTTATTGTATTTTTGAATTAAAAAAATAAAAATAATGATGTGGAGTGGGGTGTTAGTGTGACATCCCCAAATTCTCGGCCAGAAAAGACCGATTTTTCATTTATGCTTTTAAATATTTTCAGAGTAAATCCTTTTGATTTGAAAGAGTTGCGGAATTTGTTCCCAAAAACAAAACATGATAAAACAATGTTTACCAAATCATTTCATAAAAGAAATGTATTTTCATTAAAATCAAAACTCGGGGTGTCATGTTCCGATACAGACCAATAAGCATAAACGAATACATTACAAGTCATATAACAAATATAAACATATGCAGACTTGTAAACAAAACAACTTGATGGTTCATCCATCTTACGCCCTTGGGCCACTTCCTGTAATACAAATAAAACTGAGTGGGTCAGGTTTGGGAGCCTGGTGAGCATATAGGGTTTTCAACCCACAATAAATAATTAAATTAATTATTATCAACCAACAATAACCCAGTTACCCATTCCCGTTATTCTCACTTTACGTCCCTAAAATAACTAACACAAGGGACCTAATCTAAGAATATTTTCATCGGGGTGACAACACATGCTGCGGGGTTTCCTCAGCAATATAAGTCAAATAAGGCAACCATGAGGGGGATGGAATACAGCGAATGAACACCCAAGTTCATTAACACCTACAGGTTATGAGCCTGCTAGCGTTCCACATGACTATCTAGAAAAGTCCGTGGTCGTCATCTAAATTCCGCTAGATGACTGGATCAAACAACAACGAGGCCTCTCATCTGTTTATTACACACCAACTATCTACCCATGTTCTACCCAACATATTAGTAGATAAAAACATACATTTTATACATATTTTCAAAACCTGTATAGCATGCTTGATCAAAACATTTTCCATATAACAGATGAGGCACACGCACATAACACGTATTTCATATAGAAATAATCATATCTGTAAGATAGAAGAAAGTGAATATACATTCACACACATAACAACAAAATATACACATAACACGTATCTCGTATAAAATACTTCATAGTTATACGTTATGAGAAAGTAACAACACATTCACACGTATAAACGACAATAAACTTAATACCCTCGAACCATACTTGTATTATTATTGCGTTTATGAAAGGTAGTATACACTCACTTGATCAGAAGATGATCGGACAACACTACGACTTGCAGAAGTAGTAAGCCTTCGCAGATCTGGAAGATCTCTACGAAAATCGAACTTTTCGCGGGCCGAGCTTCGGCTCGGAAACCGCACTTCTCGGGATCTTCGGGATCTCGGGACTCGCTTCGGGACCCGGGAATATTACCGGGGCTTCGGTATGACTTTGGGGGTAAAAACGCAGAGCTTCGGCACAAAAACGAGAGGAAATTAGCAAATAAACCCGGACCCCTCGCATCCTATTTATAGGAGGCTGGATCTGCGATTTACGCGGGGCGTAACGGGGATAAGGCCGGTGACTCCCCCCCCCCCATGGATAATATCAGCGAATTTTTATTTAAATTAAATACCGAATTTATTAAATAAACTTCAAAAATTCATATCTTCCTCATACGAACTCCATTTTCGACGCTCTTTATATCCACGCGTAGGTGAGACTACGATCTACAACTTTCGTTTAGACTCCGTCGGCTAATTTTGACTTTATTTTTTATTATTTATTTTTAGTAGGCCGGGACAGGAAAACTCCGTTATAAAATCATAACTTCTTCATCCGACGTCCGTTTTCGCCTATCTTTTTATCGTTTTACTACAATTAATGAGATCTTCAATTCTCATTTAGATTGTTTCGGCTAAAAACCGCTCGGTCTCAAATCGAGCATTCGGGCTGCATACTGCTAAGTCGAAACTTCGAAAAATCATAACTTCCTCATACGAAGTCAGATTTGGGCGTTCTTTTTATGCACGCTCATGGTTTGACGTACTCTACGACTTTCATTTAGATTGCTAAGGCTAAATATCGCTCTAACATAAATTCACTTTTTACGTCGCGCTGTGTCGTGCCGGTTCTGTCGCGAAACTTCGACAGGTCATAACTTCCTTGTTATAACTCGGATTTTGACATTCTTTATATCTTCGAAAACCTTGTTTCAACTGCTACAACATTATCTAAAGATATCAAGTTTATTTTACACTTAAATTTTGACGCTTATTTTTATTCTTAATTAATCAAACCACATAATTAAGCAATTAAGCACAAAATAGCAAAAAATGGCAAAGGTTAACCTAGACCATTACATTGCTAAAAATGGCAAGCCTGGAAACACAGACGTTACAATTCTCTCCACCTTAGAACGATTCCGTCCCCGGAATCACACATCAACAAACAAATGCGGATAGCGACTCCTCATGTCACTCTCCGTCTCCCAGGTGAGATTCGGCCCATTCGTGTGTTTCCATCGGACAAGCACTAACTCGACCATCTTGTGTCGCAACTTCTTAGTCTTTCGGTCAACAATTGCCTCTGGTTCTTCAATCAACCTTTTGTTCTCATCGATTCTCAATTCAGAAATTGGAATTATATCGGGAACTTCTCCCGTGAACTTTCTCAAATAACACACATGAAATGTGTTGTGAATTCCATTCAGTTCTTCGGGTAATTCGAGCTTGTAAGCTTGGTTCCCAATCCTCTGAAGAACTTTAAACGGTCCAATAAACCTTGGACTCAACTTTCCCCTTTTACCAAATCTTATAAGTCCCTTCCACGGCGAGACTTTAAGCAAAACCGAATCCCCAACTCAAAAGTCATCGGTCTTCGCTTCTTGTCAGCATAGCTCTTTTGACGATCCTGAGCTGCTAACATTCTTTCCCTAATTATTTTCAACTTTTCAGCAGTTTGATGAACCATCTCCGGTCCCATAAACTGCTTTTCCCCAGCCTCAAGCCAACAAGACGGCGTACGACACTTTTGTCCATACAAAGCTTGGTAAGGTGCCATCTTAATGC